AAATGCCAGTAGACATTGGAACATCATGAATATCCTAAAAGCAAAAAAAAAAAAAGAAAATTATCAGCCAGAATTTTGTATCAAACAAAAGTTTCCTTCAAGAATATTCTTATGACATTTTTGATAAAAGAAAACTGAGATAATTTATTGCCAGCAGACCTCTGTTACAAAATATACTTAAGGAAGTCCTTCAAGCTGTAGGGAAATGACATAGATTCTTATCACTGGAGTTGTTGAATTTGTAAAATGTATTTTAAATATTTTAGCTATGAAAATAATTACATTTTTTCTCCTTTAACCTATTGGGTGGTAAATTATAATAACATAACTGTTAGGGACCTTTAATTTCTTGATAATTTGATTTGACCATTATGAAGTGTTCTATTTGTATAGTGCCGAATAGTAATTTATTTTAAATTTGCGAAAACTCATCACCTTCTGGTACCTCATCTTTTCAGACTTTAGTGTCAAGATTATGCCAGCTTATTAAAAGAACTGAAAAGTTGTTGTTTACTTTTTAATTAATTAATGTTAGCTCAGTAATTTTCTTTATGTTAAAGGTTCTCTGACTTTCAAGACATCTGTAGTCTATTTCACAACTCTTCTTCTCACCTATTCAAACTTGTGTTTTATACTCAATAAATGATCAATGTCCCCTGCTCTAAATATGCTGTTTTTTTTACTGTCTTATGAATACTCTAAGCTTCTTCTGAGATACTCTCATTTTCAAATTCTAGCATGAAGTTCTTCTTCATTGATGAAATCATTCCTGTCTATTTCAGCTCTAACTAATACTCCTCTTTTATAAACTCTTTTTCATTTATTAATTAGCTTGGTTCTTAGTGATATTTTTTTATTACATTACTTACTAGTGTTTCATGTGTGCTAATCATATGTATCCAATGAGAATGTGAGCTCTTTGTGGACTAGATTTTTATGCTTTATTTTTGTCCCATATTATCCAAAACTAAATATATTCTGTACCTAGTGTGAAAAAAATATAGTGCTAAACAAATGTTTGGTTTGTTGATGAAGATTCACAAGTTTTGTTGTTTATATTTATACATGCTTATATTTACATATGTTTATATTTACATATTTTTGATATCTAGATACGTGTATTTAAGTGAAAACAGAGGGAGCCAATGTGAGACTCTAACTTAGGAAAATCTGGATAATTTTTTCTCCAGTTTCTCCCCCTTTATTCGGGGCTATTCCGCTGCACCAACTCTGTGTATGAGAGAGTAAAGCTTGTTTTTAAATTGAGAAGGCTATTTGTTTCTCAGTATTTGAGCTTTAGACTTTCCCTGAGTTTGGAGTAATAAATTTATATGGATATAAAGTCTAGGCTTTAAAAACAAAGAATACAAATTCGTAAAAGTGTGAGCATAGGCAAATTTTTAAATTTCTGTAGATTTGTTTCCTTATCCACAAAGTGGTAATAATACCCACCTCATAGGGTATTTTTTTATAATTAAATGAACATTATATTTTAAATTAGTGAAAGAACTAGCCTGCTATTAGCTATCAAAATTAGACATTCCAAATGTGAATCAAATATAAATGATCAATATACACATGGAAAGAAATGATTTCTAAAACACTTTTTCCTTTTTCTTTTTCCTGACATTTAGGTAGAGTATGCCAAGCCCTTACGTTATCTGTACTCACAGCATAGACAAGGGTGTAGAAGAACACTGGGTCCTACAACCTCCTCTGGACCCAGCACTCAGTCTAACACTTATAAGAAGGAGAAAGATGCTATTTTGTTTACAGGTATACACAATGTGTGTTTATATTAAAATAACTGAAAATTAACTGCATCTAACTTTTAGAAATAGTATGAAGAAAATCTTTAACCAAGGCTATTAGAGCCTGGTCTCTTTATTAGAAAAACAATAAAGTCCGTATTGCTTAGTATGGAATATAAACTGCTAAAAGCCTTTTATTGTATCCTTGCCCAGACTGATGCTAGTCATAATGAACAGTCTGTTCTAACTACTCTATGATTTGATCAATTCTGTTCTCTGTGCTCAGAACATATTTCTCCACCTGATAGATTCCTATTTATCTTTAGTAACTGGGACACTTTTAGCAGCACTTAAAAGAAAATCGGATTACATGTGGCCTAAACAATAAAATATATGTAATCTCAAATAATAAGTCCCTCAGTAAAGCAATCTCAGGGCTGATTATTTCAGAGGTTTATTGATGCCATCAAATATCCATTTCCTCCATCTTTCCTCAACTGTCTTACCAGGCAGCGTGTCCTTCCAGCTTTGCTGTACAATACAGTGACTACTAGTTAAGATAACTTTTATGGGTAACAACATCCACTGTAAGAGAAAAGCGCTTTGTAAAATTGAGGATAATGTTCCCCAAAGCCCTCCAGCAGAATTCTCTTTGTGTCTCCCTGGCTAGAATATCTTCCTGCACCCATATCTAAACCAATAGACCGTGATTGTCTTAGAGCAGTTTTTTCAACTTTCAACATGACCCACAGTAAGAACTACTTTTTATATTACAATCTAATATATATATGTGGAGCAGAAGATTCAGATTCAGATTCATGGAGCCCTAATTATTTGTCTTTCTCTCTGTAAGTTAAACTTGATTGCAGTATTTTAGTTTTTGGTATCGTTATTACTAAAGATCCATGTGATGAACTGTTACATCTTTTAAAATGCTGGTCAGGAGATGCTAAACTGATAGTATCTAAACTGATGAGTTGTAGCTCGCATTTAGAAAAGCATAGGCTTAGGTCATTCAAGGTTCACTCCCTTGTGCTAGGAAAGAGCCAGCCTCATTCGAGGGCCATAGTTGCTTGGAGGAAGATAAGATCAGAGTTCTGTTAGCAAAGAAAGGGGGAAGTAACTGTTAAATAGGCAATCCTTTCTTTCACACATTATTCTTTAAGACTCCACTTAAGGGTCACATCTTTTCCAAAGTATTCCCTGGTATCAGTGACAGGCTGGTCTACTTTTTTAGCAAAGCAACATTCCTTTTATAAAATTTATTGAGTCTCTCTATAGAAGAAGCAACGGAAGTAGAAAGAGAAGAAAAATATATTAAATTAAATTAAAACTAGAATATTTTGTCCCGAACTCAGAGAACATCTGTTATATATTATAATATGAAGTAGTTTGAAAGAAGATTCCTGGAGTTGGTCCACCATTCCATTTTGGTTTGGCCTAGTTCCTGTATATCCAGTTGGCAGTGGCAAGGATTGATTTTTCATTTCTCTTCACAAGCCAGGTTACTGCACCCCAGCCCTTTGTATCAAGCAGCAGACCTGTCCTTCTCCCACTTGCCTTCCCCATTTGTATAAATGACATCTACACAGTTGCTGAGGCCAAAAACCTAGAAGTCATCCTTGATTTCCTTTTTTCCCTTATATTCCATATTCAGTCAGTACAGCCAGCTCTACCTCCAAACTATAACCTGAGGCCCACCGTCTCCTCTGCTACAGTCCTTGTCTAATCCACCAACATGTCTTATCTGGAATACCGCAACAGCCTTCTAACTGGTTATGCCATTGCTACTCTTGCCATCCACATTCCTCCTTACCACCACAGACTATCCATCTCTGAGCAGACAGAGGGGTCTTTCTAAAGAATAAATCAAACTACTTTATTATTCCATTTAAAACTCTTCAGCCCTGGCTGGTATAGCTCAATGGATTGAGCAGTGGCCTAAGAACCAAGGGATCACCAGTTGGATTCCCAGTCAGGGCACATGCCTGGGTTGCAGGCTGAATCCCCAGTTGTGGGCGTGCAAGAGGCAACCACACATTGATGTTTCTCTCCCTCTCTTTCTCCCTCCCTTCCCTTCTCTCTGAAAATAAATAAATAAAATCTTAAAAACAAAAATAAACAAACAAACAAAACCTCTTCAAATGATATCCATTTTAACCAGAATAATATCTGAACTCTTCACTATGGCTTATGTGGTCCTATGTGATTTGGCCCCTGGTACCTGTCTCATCTTACTCCACCCTCCCCCTCATACACTACATGCCAGCAACTCGGGCCTTTCAATTCCTTCAGATTCCAAGCTGGTTTCACACTTTTCACTTGCTCTTTCCCCTGCCTAGTAAGCTGTTCCTCAGCCCTTCACCCAACTACCTCCACCTCTTCCTCAAATTCTTAAGAGAGGTCTTCTATAGTCTCCATAGGTGAAGTACCATGTTTATATTTTTTCATAATACGTACAAGTAGTTGAAATTATTTTATATATTTGTTTTGATCAATTTACTTATTTATTGACTCTTTCCTCCCTCTGGGGTTATAAATATACTATAGGTATGCTGCAATATTGATCCTTTAACTTTCAAGACTGCTGGGTTGACCCTGAGGTAACCTGGCAACAGTGCTCTCACATGTTTATCCAGGTGTACTATGCAAAGGATACTGATTAAGAATGTTTGCCATGAGGTGGACTAGGTCGGGAAGCACTGCACTAGAAATACAAACTACTTGAGGACGAGAAAAAAAGCTGAATTTGTTGCTAATAGCATGTATGTCTGGGGATACTTTTAAGAAGGTAGAGAAATGCTGGATTGGCTACCAACTGTATCTGGAAGAGTTCAACCTTGGATACTTTCTTTATGCCAATTGACCAGATCTATTTGACATTTGCTAACTTCCCTCCATACCTACAGTGTTTAACCATCTGAGGCTTCCTACTGGTTAATAAGACTTTACATATTGGAGATATTTATAAATTTGGGAATACCTTTCTTGCACAAAAATCTTCAGTACCAATTTTATATTTATGTCTTAGCTAAACATTGGATCCTTGATTGTATGATTAGATCCAAGATAATCTTTTCCAGTTCTAGCTTGTTCACTTAAGAAGCTTCTACTGAGCAGCTACTGCAGATCAGGCAATATACCAGGTGTTTTGTATATGTTATTTTATACTGTAAACTATTTCATACAAGATATTTTCTAAATGCCATAGTATATGTGTGCCTTTTATAAAACTCTTTATAATTTCAGCTCAAACTGAAAAAAATCCTAAGGCATCATTTGATTTGGTTGGTCACTTAGAAGATTATGTAAATAAAAGGTAATTTATTTTTTATTTTTAAACATTTTATTCTGTTCAATGATGTTTCTTATAAGAACAGTTCTGCCTTTTATTTTCTGGACCAAAATGAATCTATTCTGGATTATTACTATTTAGGCCATATTACAATCCAGTATTAATCCTAGACTGTTCAGTGAGTCAGCATTACATTTGGACTTTGAACACTTGTTCTATCTGCCACAAGTTTACAGTCAAATGCAGAGAAAGACATGGAAAAAATGAATGGAGAGAAGATCATAGTGTTTTTTAGACACAAATTTAGTAAAAACACAAATTTAATTATACTACAACATGGATGTAAGAAATGTAGCTTTTTATTTTTATATAAAGTTCATCTTCCTCATGAGACTCTCAAACTCTGTAATGAACAATTAGTCTAGTGTGCTTTAAAATTTGTTTGGCACAATAATATGTAGACTTTTTAGGTTTATCTCAGTCTTTTTCTTTCTGAGATAGACTTTGTGACATTGAGGAAACTCACTTGACAAAGGGTCTTTGTTAATACCCTTGTACTGCTGGTCTCCATCCTAGATGTTCTGTGACTGCTGCTCTCTGTGGTTCCTGTCTGTATGGTGTGTTCCCTCTGAATTCACATAGGGTTCCCTCTTAACTGTCATTAGTATGGTTGGACTCTCTGAGTCTCTGTCATATCCTTCGTCTGCCTGCCCTTCCAGGGGTGTCCAACTCATAGCCCACAGGCCATCTGCAGCCCAGGATGACTATGAATGTGGCCCAACATATAATCGTAAATTTACTTAAAACCTTTTCTTTGCTCACCAGTTTTCATTAGTGTTTGTGTATTTAATGTGTGTCCCAAGACAACTCTTCTTCTTTCACTGTGGTCCAGAGATGCCAAAAGGTTGGACACACCTGCTAGATTATCCAACACTTATGCCAAGCCTTTGCTATGGGTTACCCCACCATTGCAATGCAAGCCTCTTGGCAAACCTAAACTCAGTGACCATGTCACATGTGAACTAAGCATGATCTGAAATGAAAATTATATCCTCTCTGCCTAACCACTTTTCTCCCAGAATCTCAACAAAAGAAGGTAGAAATACTTCTCCACCTTTGATATTCTCCTCAACCTACATAATATTTCTTCTCCCACTGAAAATCCAAAGAGGCACACAGATTACTGTCTTGCTTCCACCACTACTTTTGCTGTGCACCCTGCCAAACCAGGCAGGAATGTATGTTTTTTTCAGGCTGAAAGTTTATAGCAGAGGGTTTGGGGGAGATGTTGGCAGTGACTTCAAGGAATGGGCGAAGCAGACAAAAACTGACAAGCTGAAATAAGCCCTATAGACAATTATGCTGAACTTGTGTTTATTTTCAGGAAAAAATCTCCTCCACCAATGAATGATTTTCATATAAAAGGAAATAAATCTGTCAGAAATGATCAGTTAAGTGAGTATCGTTCAGTAGAAAAGAAAAATTTGCTCCCCTTATGCATTGAGGATGAACTGAAAAAGCCAAATGTCAAGATAATCAACATTAGTCCAGCAAAGACAGTAACTCCTCCCATGGTAATAAGAATATCTACTGCTGTTCAGTGAATATGTGTATTTGCACTCCTTTTGGGAATATCACATTCTAATGGCCAGAATCTTTGATAAATCCTTCTTTTGGTTTCACATGTGTCAAGTTTTAAGGCTCTTTTTAGAATTGCCATCCCCAAATATAAAATGTAAATGGTACTTTAAAAAATGAATCATGCCCTAGCCAGTGGGTCAGTTTGTTGCATTGTCATCCCATACCCGAAAGGTTCTGGGTTCAATTCTCAGTCAGGGCACATAACTAGGTTGCGGATTCAATAACCAGTCTGCATGTGTCTGGAAGGCAACCAGTCGATGTTTCTCACTCACATCAATGTTTTTCTCTCTCTCTCTTCCTCACTCTTTAAAAGCAGTGAAAAAATGTCCACAGGTGAAGATTAAAAAAAAAATGAATCATATATCACTTTTCTATCAATCTACTTGAGCTATTTCAACCAGAAAATACATTTATTAAAGGCAATTTGGTAGCTCACAGAGCCACTAGGAAGACTGGAAAGACAATCTGACTTGAAAGCTATCCAGTCACAAGTCACCAAGTTACAGCCTCAGGGTGCTCTACTGGGGCCCATGCTGCTGATCACAGATAGCAGTAAATAACTCTGATTGTGGGCAGGGGACACTATTTCTAAGGCCTTCGTCTCTGTGGCCCTTCAAAGCTAGATATATCTACCACCATCCTCACTAGAATAGTGTTCATAGTGCTCATTTTTTCATAGTGCTTGCTTTTTCTGAACTAAAGACTTGTCTTAGATGTAATTTATTGGTAGATCCCAGGTCACATGTCTGTGCCCTAACTTCAAGGGAGGCTGCTAAAGCTAGTTTCTGCTTCTCCCTAAGGTTACATAGACTTGAAAGATGAAAATTTTCCTAAGGTATTGGACAGACCAAAGATATGACAGATTTCCACTATAGTGGCTGAGTGGATAACATTGGCATTACCAGTGGATTGCAAAACTAAATCTTTTGTCATTTTTGGAGAAATCATAGGCACTAACATGTCTTTCAAAATAAGTACACTCCTTGTTTCTTATAATTTTAATTATATTTCTAAAAGTAAAGTATCAATCACTGAGTCAAAGTTTATGAACTAAGTGCTGGTAATCTCCATATTTAACAGTTTCTTTGGAGTTAATTTTTTTGCCCTAGAATGGAAATTTGTGGAAGAGTTTACTGAGTAGCTCATACATACAGACTGTGCTACCACTGTGACTAAAATAATCTATTTTTAAGTCAATCTACTACTTTAGCTACTTTATTCTGCAAATATAAATATGTACAAAAAAACCAAGTACTTGTATGTGACATACTTCCTTCTCTTCTTAATATTCTATTGAGATGTTAGGGTTAAAATCTGAACTTTTGGCCTCCTAAAATCCTTTTTGAAATAAAGTAGGACATGGGAGAATGAAACATTATTTGAAACATTATATATATAGCTACTTTATTTGCAGAATAAAGTAGCTATATATATATATATATATATATATATATATATATATAGCACTTTTATGTGCTGTGTTGGGACATAAATAACAAATATAACCATTGCAAAGATAATTTTAGATTTTCTGAGTTATTCATTAGGATATTCAGACTTTGTAATTTGGGCTTGTAATCGGTTATGTCTCTTATGACTTTTGACTCAATCTATTTTCTGGTATGCTTCTTACTTCTGGACATGGAAGCTAAGAAATGTCTGAATAATGTTTCATTCTCCCATGTCCTACTTTATTTCAAAAAGGATTTTAGGAGGCCAAAAGTTCAGATTTTAACCCTAACATCTCAATAGAATATTAAGAAGAGAAGGAAGTATGTCACATACAAGTACTTGGTTTTTTTGTGTATGTTTGAATACAACTATTGTTCATATTAAAACTCCTATGTAGTCATTTTCAGAATATTTTATTTTATGTATAAAAATACATGTAGCCTTCTTACCTCAATAGATTGATGACCAAGTACTCTTTTCTTTAATCTACAGGAACAAAATGATACAAATCCCATAATTTTCCACAAGACTGAATATGTACAAATGTTACTTTTGACAACAAACAGACTTCCTCCCCATCCTATGGAAAATAGAAACATTTGCCCACATAAAAAAGAAAAGTTTGTTTTAGAAAAAAATCATAAACTTCTCAGATCTTTAATTAATGATAAATGTATTACTTCTTCCAAACCTAAAAGCACTACGCCTACAGCATGGAAGGAAGGTATACAAGCAATAACTTTTGAAGTGAGCCATAGAGCTATAGAGGAGAAATCAAAGAAGAAAACTACTACGCAGACATTCAAAAACACATCCTGGAATAAACTCCAAAATTTCTCAGAGCCTTTTCCAGCCTAACAAAAAAATTTTTAGGTGTCCTTGATAAAACTGTTATTCAAGAAATGAGTGCTAAAACTGGCAAATTTGAAAGACTGTTTCTACAGTAACACCAATGAGCAAATTCAGTGCCTTACCTGTCAAATATTGTTCAAAGCCTTTAAAAAATGTACTCGAAGTCCATACATTACATAATATAACTCCACTGGATGATTTGTTAAAATTTTAGAGTGAAAATTCAATTTCTCATAAAATATTATTTACAGCAATACTTGGATAACAAGAATCAAAACATTTCAAGATCATCAAAAAAATTCTTATCTGAATAGTAATGTTCTGATGGATGGTATAAAAGGGCAAAGCATGGAAATTGTATTTACAAATCAACAGTAGTCTAGGAAAAACCAACATTTGTACAAAATAAGAGGACAAAAGAAATATTTATCAACAAGAGGAAATAGCTCATGAATTTCTATTATCTCAATTGGACTTCTCAACCACCAGCATTCCTACAATAAATGGTGATTTGGACCAAGAACGTTATCAACTGAATCTGGAAATTGGCTATTAGAAGCCAAAACATCAGTAGCCTTACTCTGTAATTGAATATTAAAACAGAAAATGTACCACTAACCTGATGCATAAGGAAGTAATCATTTTCGATAATCATTGTGTGTCAGCATCTTGGATAATCATTGAAAAATAGTATTTTACATTAGCATTTCATGTAATTAAAAGGGCTTTGTAAAATTTCAAATAGTTTTTTGTTAGTAAATGTTAGCACTTCATTACTATAAAATGTTTTTTTTTCAAGTATAACTTTGACTTTTTCTGAATTGTTAAATAATTTAAAGGAATAACCTCTCTTATAAGCTAAATAATTTTGGTAGCAAATTCAATAAAGTATTGAACATGTTAAGTATATTATTACATTGCTATTTCATTGTTTCTCTTTAACTTCTCATTGACCCAAACAGTATAAAGGCAGAACTCGATTTAGAAAAAAAAGTTTCATTTTAAAAGTTTAGTTGTAATCCATTTATTAAAGGATTAAAAAACAGAAACCTTAACTGGTAGTGCTTGAGGAGATGTGGGTTTATATAGAAGCAAGCACTTCAGTTAGGGAAGGCGTTGGAGGTCTTTAGAAAACTTTCAAGGATGAGGAGATTAATTTATCAGGTCCCTGTTTCCAGTTCAGACTGGAGGCCTCTTCCGTGTGTCTTCAGTGCTGCTCTGAGGTGTCTTTTCACCAGAGGCAACAGTTGGCTTTCAAATAGAATGTCAAGGACAGAAAATGGAGACGGGAGGGAGTGAGAAGAGTCTGACTGGAAACTGTAAATGAAGAGCAAGAGAAAAAGGCTTCAAGATAAGGTGCTGGGCTTAGGAATGTTGGACGTAGGGGAGGAGATACAGGCTTTTTACATTTCTTCTGGTTCTGGCTGGGGAGAAGCCGCAGCAGCATCTTCAAGGTCATGAAGTCGTCTTCCTCTTTGTCCAACAAACAGGGATTGACCCTTTTGTTCTCTTTATTTGCTGTCTCCTATTCTACCTCTGTCCCCACCCCACCCAAGTTTCCCCTCCTCCCAGGCTCTCTGCAAAGTGAAACAGTTTACCTAACTACCCTGCTGGCTGAGAAGATAAAACACAACTCTTTTTAATCACTGACAAAAATAAAAAGAAATAGAAAATACACTTAATGATAGCACAGTAATGATGATCTTTTTTATTTTTCCTGGTATTCAGTGTAAGATAAACAACTGTGGACCTTGGATTTGGGCAGAAGTGAAGTGAATGAACTTGGACAAATAATGTAAACTATCTGAGCCTCACTTTACTGTATCTCTTCCTTATGATGGAGATAGCATTACCTATTACAGTATTATTATTTTCAGTATTAAAAGAATAATATGAAGTACCTTGAGTATGATAAGCAGTCATTAAGGATTTCTTTCCTATTCCCACCCTTTCCTCTGCTCTAAGTGTAAGTGTAACATCTTAAAGATGTTCCTCAAAATCTCTTAATTCAATCTTTTCTAAATTACATGTTAAATCTAACCACAGTATTTAGACTTTAGCCTAGAGTAGATTCAAAATAAAAATGAGGATTTTTGTATTAGCTATTTTTGGAGGTTCCTGCTTGAGCTTACAAGCTTTATTCTTTAGAGAGATATTCAATCAACTTAAAAATTTCATTTTGCTGAGGATTTTCCACTAAAACTGGAAAGCTGGAAGCAGTGGATTCTGGGAAGATGGCAACCTAAATCCAGCACCTTTCTCTTCTACTCTAAGCTTAAACCCATCATCTCCTAAACCAAACAGCTGCTGGGATCTTCAAGCAGTGGGGTACAAGGTTAGACATCGTTTCCATGCCGACACTGAAATCTGAATGTGGCCCTACAGACCAGTCTCTGAGTCACAAGGCAATGGTGGAAGTTATATTGTGTGCTGGAACTAGCTGGCCAGTTGGGATCTGTGGATTACCCCAGGCGGAGGTTGCCTTTGCCCCTTTATAACTGCTCCCAGTCTCTTTGGTCCCCCAGGAGGCCAAGAAGGAACCACCTAACCAGTGAGAAAAGTGGGAAGTCAGAGATCCACGAATTTTCCTTCAGATGTCTTACCAGGGGATTGTGGTTGACTTGTTTCTGTAACCCTGGTTCATAATGGGCAAGACTTTAGCTTCTACCACTTATAAGACTGTAGTCACTAGATTCTGCAATACATAGACCTGAGCTTCCCTGAGCCAACTAAGAAAAATAGAACTCGATCTATAGGGGCCCAGCAGTTGACAGTGGCCAGCGAGGCAGAATATAACAAAGAAAAGGGAAGAATTATGAGGATTACCAGAGATTTCACCAAATGATGGGGAAAAATAAGTAAGCATGGTAACTTTGTAGGATCAACAGTGAGAAAATTTTTTTGAATAAAATGAAAGTTTTTCCTATTTGCTCACCCTGACAAGTCTAGTGCACTTAGTAACCAGCTATAAAAACAAACAGAACACATAGAGCTGCTAGAGAAGACAAAGACAAGGGACAATTTCATGAGAAAAATAGTAAAAGCACTGAAGGAGATTCAAGTGTGGCTCCACCCCACTCCCACCCCTCCCATACACATATACATACTATGCTATTTTCTATAAGACAACTGTTTCATTATATTTGTTATTACTCTCAAGTATAACCTTAATGATAGAAGAGTTAGCTATTAATTGAATTGAAAACAATAAAAATTCCAGATTAAAGGGAAATGGGATTAATAAGGGAAATAAAAAATGACAAACAAAATCATAAAAATACTTAAGTCAACTATCTGTCATTATACTATATTTGAATTGGTTGGATTTTTTTATTAAGAGACAGAGACTCTCAGACTTAGTTAAAAATAACACTTAACTATATATTGTTTGTAAGAAGTATAGTTAAAGCAATAAAGAAAGCCTGAAAATAAAGGAATGTAGAAGGAGATACCAGACTAATAAAACCAAAGAAATTGGAGTGGCATTATTAATATCAGATAAGCTAAAGTATAAGATTAAGAACAATAAGTAAGACAAAGAAGTACTTATGCCTTATGTGATAATAAAAGAACAATTTATGGAAAAGATACAACAGCATATTTGGTACACTTTGTAGGTACCAAAGTATCTAATTATATAAAGTAGACTCTTGGAAACCCAGAAGAATATAATAAAAGCAAATTATAATGAGAGACTTCAATTCATCTCCTTCATAGTTAAAGAAGTAAAATAAAACAAAAGTATAGCTACAGAATAATTATATAATTAATAACATTGATGTATAGACTTTCTTTGAAACAGAAATGATATATTTTGCAGTTTGTCCATAGGAAATTGATGATATTCTAAGCTACACAAAAATACTTAACCCTAGCCCTGGCTGGCGTAGCTCAGTGGATTGAGTGTGGGCTGCGAACCAAAGTGTCGCAGGTTCTATTCCCAGTCAGGGCACATGCCTGGGTTGCAGGCCATGACCCCCAGCAACCTCACAGTGATGTTTCTCTCCCTCACTCTTTCTCCCTCCCTTCCCTCTCTAAAAATAAATAAATAAAATCTTAAAAAAAATACTTAACCTTTTGACAAATAAATGTAGAGACATCTTAAGTAATCCTATAAAAGTAAGAATAAAAACAAAGCAAAATCCAAATATATTTACTATTTGAAAATAAAAGGATGAAGAAGAAAACTCAAATTATAAAGTAGGAAATAATGAAAAGGAAATCACTTCATTCCAAGTCTTATGGCACACAGCTAAAGCTAGTTTCAAAGAAAATGTATTCCTTCCATTTTTCTTTCTCCTCCTCCTCCTTCTACTTAGTGAAAAGGATTCTAAGGTTTTCATCTTGTGAAAAGAGAAAAAGTATAAGGTAAATCAGAAAAAATTATGAACAGGAATTTAATACAGATAAACATTAAAATACTTAAATAGAAATAAAAATATAGTATAAAATCATAAATAAAAACAAAATCTATTGTGTGTTTGTTTTTAAAATACACTAAAATGGATAAATCTTTCTCAAGCATGATTTAAGGAAGAAGAGCAAAGAAAAAAACAGTTTAAGATTATGAAAGAGAAAAGAAACAACCCTAAATATAGGAGAGTAACAAAATCATAAGAAATACTGCATGCAAATTTATGCCAACAAATTTGAAAATCTAGAAAAGAAGTGCGTGGTTTCCTATCAAAAAGAAAATGAATGAAATTGTTCCCTAAGAATGGATATTTTCAATAGACCTATTTCCCAGAAGATGATGACATGGACCATGTCTAGATGAGTTCTCAAGTAATTTTTCTTTATTATTGAAGCCAATGTGGTAGGCAGAATTCCAAACATGTCTCCCCAAGATCCTATCCCTTGTTATTCAAACACTAATTTAGATACTGCCTGGAAAGGACCTTTTGCAGCTGGACAAAGAGTTACTAACCATCTGACTTTAAAATATGGTAATTATTCTGAATTATCGATGTGCCCACTGTAATCACATAATCCCTTAAAAGCAGAATGCAGAAGTAAGAAAGAAGTAGCAAAAGAGAAAGCAAGAAAGATGGGATAGAAGTAAAGTTTGAAGACTTTGTTTCACAAGGGCAATAATGTTAAACACTTGCTTATAATATTTCCAGTTTTTCACAATTACTCATTTCCTCCCTGCCTTTGCCATGCTTGTGCATAGGCTAAATGTTGTTTCCCTACTCCATTGACTTGGGCTTGGCC